CTAATGGGCGGGAGGTGATCACAGAGAATTCAAAGATGGGTGTGTGCCGGGGCGTTCCTCACACGGGCACCACCTTGCCGGGCTGGCCAGCAGCCCCTGAACACGGATGAACGGATGACTCCGGCACAGCTTCACTGCGAAAGAGAAGGCTAAGGGACGGCTTGGCTGACAGCATCCAGGCCTCCTCGACTGCCTGCCTCGTTAGGCTTTTATTGCAGTTTTTATCTTTAGATACAATCGGTGGAGTGAGTAATCTTGGGAGGACACGTGTTTACACTGTCCGCTAGGCGAGGGCATCCAGGAATTAGGCATAAGGATTCCAGTAAACACCCGGGGTCTGCACGTGCGGAGACTCGTTTGGAAAGTTCAAGGAGTAACTAGGGGCACCACCTTCGACACTCCCTTCAGCCTCCCCTAAGTCAGAACTCCCAAAGACAGGGCAGGCGGCCTTCCACACACTTCCTTTTTCTCAGAATGTCCTCCTAACCACCAAGGTGTGTGGGCGGGTTTTCAGGAAAGAAAGCAGCAGAGATTGGCAGACGGGTGAGGGTGAGGAGCTCCCAGGAAGGACTGGCTGGGTCAAGTGCAAGCACGCACGCCCGGCTGACGCCTGCGCAGCATTCAGTCCCCATGGCAGGTGAGCCCCAGGCCACTGGCCTCGGAAGCCTGGGGACGGCATCCAGGATGACATGTTTACGAGGACCAGGTGGCTTTCTCCACCTGGCCCAGCAGGGTGCCCTGCAGAGAGGAGCAGCGGGAAGAAGGGCCATTCTGCCATTTCCGAGGTCGTGACCAGAGAACACCATCAGCATCAACAGGCGCATCACGGAGTGGGTGTCAAGAAGCAGCCCCCGGGTACCCACAGGTCCAGGGATTTGCCACGAAGGAGATGGGACCCAGACGTGCGCACTGACACCGGCTCAACAAACAGTCTGGGCCCAGGAATAGGGACTGTCCCACAGTCCGGGGCGCTTGTCCAGAAACGTAACGAGGATGAAGATTCGCCAAACAAGCTCTAGACGCTGGTCACCTACGTACCTGTCACCATTTCCAAAAAGAGAAGGAAGGCAGGGGTGACTGACAGTGATTCTTAACCTTTGTGAGAAGCCAAATTATTTGCAGAATTGGTGAAATACACAGGGCAGTGACCAGCAAAGGCCCTGTGCAATCCAAGAAACAAGTTTGAGAAATACTTCTAAAACTTTACGCTGTTAAAACAGGTTATAAAAAGAAAAAGGACTGGGGAGAATAAAAATAAAATCAGTTTCAACAGTGGAACAGGCAGAAAAGTATTCTCATCAGGCCCATAAGTTCAAAGACATCAAGAATCACCAATGAAAATGGTGTATCGCATCCCATGCGTGGAGAACGGAGTTGAGGGAAACGAGTATCTAAGGTACAAAGCGGGAAAGGAAAGTAATTTTAAACTTCGGTAGACAGAGAGGAGGATGACCAGGTGAGAACAAGACGCTGCAAGTCAAAGGGAAAGTACTTTGACCTGCAGCCGGCAACTTCCAAGCAAGCCCAGGCCGGGTATGCGGGAACTAGGCGGTGGCAGGAATGAGCTCAGGGCACTCTGAGCAGGAGTCTGCTGGGCGGGTTTGACCCCCACCTCACTTTGTGGGCACCTCTGCGTCTCAAAACACTCAGTAAAACCAGTCAGCCTCTAAGCCAGTGGTTCTCAACCTTCCTAATGCCGCGACCCTTTAATACAGTTCCTCATGTTGTGGTGACCCCCAATTTCATTGTTACAAATGGAACATAATTAAAGCATAGTGATTAATCACAAAAACAATATATAATTATATATGTGTTTTCCGATGGTCTTAGGCGACCCCTGTGAAAGGGTCGTTCGACGCCCAAAGGAGTCTCGACCCACAGGTTGAGAACCACTGCTCTAGGCCCTAGAGATGTGGGCGTCTGAATGAGCAAGTGCCCAAAGCAGAGAAGCCGGGCGATTCCATTCCAGCCGCCCCTTCCTGGACGTGTGTCCACATGTGAGAACCTCACATGCATCACGTGTGGCCTCACGCGCTCATGGCAGAGGTGCTCACCTGGACTAACTTGAACACCTCGTCCTGGAGCATCTGCCTAACAGAACCGGGAGATCGTGGCAGCCGCGCCCGGGGCTCGCCGCGCGGGGCCGGCGGGGGGGTGGGCACCAGGGTTTGTGAAGCAACGCTGACTCCATTGGGCACCACGGGTGGGTCTGGAGACGATTTCTCTTTACATGCAGGGGTCTGTGCACTGCGCGGGGAGCGTAGGAACAGAAATCACACGTTAACCAATACAGCACATTACATGGCTATGATCTGAATATCTGGGTCCTACTCGTTTCTTCTACTTTAACAGCTTTCTCAAAGTTTTCAGGAAATTTAAACCCTCCAGCCTCCTCTCTGTACCCCTCGCATCTGGCACCACCAGACACACTGGTCGTCAGCGCTTTCACTAAGAGGCGTGTGCTGCACGGTCAGCCTGGTCCCCTCCCTGCGTGATAAGCCAGAGCAGTTCACACAAGTATCTTACTTGCCTGGTCCCTGTAAGGCATCTGAGTTTGAAACTGTGCAAGTCATTCTTTCCGCTGTACAAACTATGTAATTTGGTTTGAGACTATGTGTTTGTTTTTAACTACATTTAATGACCCAGAGTGGAGTTAAGAAAACAGGGAATGTGTCTGGCTGGTGTGGCTCAGTGGCTGAGCATCAACCATGCACCCAGAGGTCACTGGTTCGATTCCCGATGCCCGGGTTTCAGGCTCCATCCCAGTAGGGGGCATGCAGGAGGCAGCCAATCAATGATGCTCTCTCATCACTGATGTTTCTCTCTCTCTCTCTCTCTCTCTCTCTCTCTCTCTCTCTCTCGCTCCCTCCCTCTCCCTTCCTCTCTGAAATCAATAAAAACATATACAAAAATTAAAGAAAACAGGGACTGTATGGGTTAAAAATGTTTAATTCTAAGATGGGTTAAAAAATGTTTAATTCTAAGTTTGCTATACAGCAAACTCACACTGACCATTAAATGTGAAATAACAGTATTATGAACATTTCATTTCCGAACAAATCAGAGTTTGTTTTTATAATTAAACCCTAACCAACAAACTAAAATGATTATTCCTTAAACATAGCAGATACTCAATGTTTTCTAAGCAAATCAATTTCCTAAACTAAATAAGGGAGCAGGCATTATCCTACCCAAATAAACTGATCATTGTCTCTAAAAAGAAAAGAACGTATTAAATTGCATTTACATTTATGAGGCCTTGCTCTCATTTCCTTTCAGCAATATTCGCCTTTTACCAAACACCTAAGGTTCACAAGAACAAAAGCTCACTTGTCAACTCCATGGAAAACAGGCATTACAACTCATTTGCCTGCCTTAGACAATGTTGTTAGCCTTTGCCGTCAATGAGTAGCAAGGAGGTCAATTCTAGGGACGGAGAAATTTTCTAAAGTAAAGCTGTGCTACATGATCCTCCTCCCAGCAAGATTTCCACACGGACACATGGCTCCGCCTCTGCGAAGATGCAGCGGCAGACTGGACGCGTCTGCTCACCGATAAAAGCATTCTGTGCTGCTGGAAATCGCTAGAGGCTGAAAGTGAGCAACTGCCACATCTCTTGATAAGAGAGCCACTACTTTTTTCAGAAAGCCTGTTCTAAAATAGTTCCTGTATTTCTTTAAAACACACCTACTTAAAAAAAAAGAAAGATTTTTCTCTAATATATTTTTTATTGATTTTTTACAGAGAGGAAGGGAAAGGGATAGAGAGTTCGAAACATCGATGAGAGAGAAACATCGATGAGCTGCTTCCTGCACACCTCCTACTGGGGATGTGCCCGCAACCAAGGTACATGCCCTTGACCAAAATCGAACCCGGGACCCTTCAGTCTGCAGGCCGACGCTCTATCCACTGAGCCAAACCAGTTAGGGTTAGAGGAAAATCTTTCAATAATTCACTTAAAGGTGTCAGAAATGTGTACCTACGTCACTTTTTTAATGCTTCATGTTGATTTAATATTATTCTCTTAGTTTTTGGTGAAAACATTCAGTAATTATTTCAAAAGGTACAGGAGGCATCAGTTTATTCTCTTATCTATTTATAAAACAGGATAACATGGTAGTGTATGCAAAAGTTCTTACCTAGGAATTTCTGAACTTCTGTCTACACAAAATGAATGAGGAATGGTATGTTCATGATTTGAAAAGGCTTCGATCATACTACAATTAAAGATTAATGATCGCTTAGGAACCAAGATATTCTTTACATTCTGTAAGAGACAGGCGATTGAATGGCCAGCCATCTCAGAGTCCAAACATCCTCTACTCCAGCCTCTGTGAAGTTAGCTCATAATTACCACCTGTTTACATTTGTCACCATAGCAATTAGTAACAGATTCAAACAAAGCCAACAGCTATGTCTGGATGGCTTGATGACTTGGACACTGTTGCCTGCTCAGCAACAGGAATAAGAAAATCTCAAATGAGGGTGGAGAAATGGGGTGAGCTGGGACCTCAAGTTCCACCTGTGGAAGGGGCAGACCTTTGCTCAGAACACGAGAGAGCCCATTCTCACATTCGAAACTGTAAAGACTGGTTTTAGTGACAGAAATATCTCTATTACTTGTAAAGGCACATGACATTAAGTATATTCTTGTTAATTTTCCACAGAACCGAACAAATTTTTCACACTGAGAAGAGAGAGAGAATCTAATTATGTTGCCTCTCATGAAAGGCAATTCTAAAATTTCAAATATTTAGCTCTCCTTGAAACATAACTAAGCTAGCCAGCAGAGTATATTACACCAGCAGAGTATATTACACCACTATTCATTAGCCTTATGAACAGTGTTCAATAATTAAACCACAATAGTGACAGATTGACTCACAATGGTTCTTCATTTGATCCAATAAAAAGGGAATCAGCCGAAACCGGTTTGGCTCGGTGGATAGAGCGTCGGCCTGCGGACTGAAGGGTCCCAGGTTCGATTCCGGTCAAGGGCATGTGCTTGGGTTGTGGGCACATCCCCAGTAGAAGATGTGCAGAAGGCAGCTGATCGATGTGTCTCTATCATCGATGTTTCTGACTCTCTATCTCTCTCCCTTCCTCTCTGTAAAAAATCAATAAAATATATTTAAAAAAAAAAAAAGGGAATCAGTATGGAAGAGTGGTTACCTAATTAGCTGTTGAATAAACCCTGGTGAATTTGCAGCTGCATTTTACTTTGATAAGGCTGAGAGTGATGGGAGAACAAAAGGCTAGATATCTATACTTATTTCACTCTACTGAGATTTAGAAGTATAAGTCACTACAACTCATCACTTACCATTGCTATAAACTGAACTTACAATTCCATTAGGAGCACAATATCACCATAACATGTATATCGTAAATTGTAAGAAACAAAATCCATCCACCAAGTGAATCCGAGATGAGCCCTGAGCACCCTTCGCCCGTTCCCGGATGGACACATGGCAGTTGCCATTGCTTCCATCGCCCGCCCCTTACCCATTCTGTGCTGCTGGCTTTTCCTCCACATATTTCTCCACTGGTTCCCCCCGTGGACACGGAGCCACTCCTGTGGAATGCTGTTAGGAGGAACGGCACCCAAAAAGAAAAGAGGGAGACAAGTAGGTATTACAGGCAGTGTCTTGAGTTGGTCTTGACATCAGTCACTCAACCAGAGTGACAAGTTTCAAAGCCAGTGAGAGACCAAAACTTAACAGTGTAGGCCCTGCTCTGACCAGACCTTACTCTGTTCACTGCTTCTGGCCATAACCGGGAGCCACTGGGCATGTTCAAGTACAATGTATTCACAAGCACATGTGTATCCGGACATCGTTACATACGTACATTGTGAGAACAATGAGAAAGCCAGGAAAGATTAATCCTTTTTAAAGGAATTGTTTCAACAATTAGAAATGTCTGCATTCCACCTGGAAATGCAGTGTTCACTGTTTTGAGAAAACAATCGTATATAATAAAAGGCTAATATAGAAATCGACTGAATGGTGGAACAACCGGTTACTATGACATGCACTGACCACCAGGGGGCAGACGCTCAACACAGGAGTTGCCCTCAGTGGTCAGTGCACTCCCGCAGGAGGAGTGCTGCTCAGCCAGAAGCCGGGCTCATGGCTGGCGAGCCCAGCAGTGGTGGCAGAAGCCTCTCCCGCCTCTGCGGCAGCACTAAGGGTGTCCAACTGCAGGCTGTGGGGAGCGGACCTAAGCTGTCAGTCAGATATCCCCCGAGGACTCCTGGACTGCAAGAGGGCGCAGGCCAGGCTGAGGGGACACCCCCCCAGTGCACAAATTTTGTGCACTGGGCCTCTAGTAGTACAGAGAAGTACACGTAAGTGCAAACACTGCACACGACAGCTGAGTTACATATTTTGAGTAAAGAATACCTTCCTCACTCTTGAGTATCTTAATTTGCTGCACAGTTCATGACATGAACATTTAAGTCACTGCCTGACATGACTAGAGGCAGAATTTCAGTGGAAAGAAACACTGCGCACAGCAGCACTGCAGTCCGCGGTGTGCTTTGGAGATGAGGGCCTTGGTTGGAGGTGCCGACTAACAACACTGAAGTGTCACTGAAGTAACTTGAGCCCCTATGTGTGGACTTACTTCTAACAGCCGCGGTGACGTCTGCGTGTGAGCGGCGTGGGGACCCTCGGGGCTTCCCACAGGTCCTTTGGCGTCTTCTGCAGCGAAACAAGGGAGAGAAAAGGGACCATTTGGAAAATGATCATTTCACTCTTTAGACGGTTCAGGACTTAACACAGGGAAAAATAAAATGGCAGAAATACTGTACATCCTCCTTACAGAAACACATAAAACGCCTGGAGACAACCCCTCCTTGTCAAGTGGTCTGAGATGAGCCTGGAGAGGCCTCCCTCGGTGTGAGCAGCCCCACGGAGAGCCCCGAGAACCCCGAGAGCCCCTGTGTTAATGAAGATGGCGAGGAGAAGGCCACAGAACAAGAGCCCCCGGGCAATTACCCAGCACGGCAAAGGTCAAGGATTTAAATTCAGGTTAATGTGCTCAACACGTCAAACATATTGAATTCGGTTTTAATTTTTTATTTTAGACTATTATAAACATACCATTTTAGACATAAGACTAAGTTATCACCAATAATCATTCGCCAATTTCAAATTAATAAAGCCAAGCAAAAAGATTAGCCAAATGAACTGACCTTCATGGTCTGGTGGGAGCGTCTCCAGTTCCTGTGTAAATGTGTCTCCTCTTAAAAGATCCTCATCGACGATGTCTACAACTTGTTTATCGGTGTCATCAGTGACAGAAATACCCTCCTCACTGGTTTCCTTTATTTCAGGGGTTCTGGCTTCAGTTGGCATTCTATTGACCAAAATGAAGCAGCTGTAACTGTAACTCATCTTTGGAAACAAGAAGCCTGCTTTCAATTGATACAGTTTATTGAAAAAGAACAAACTTAGTGCCTATATTTATCAGGTCTTTGTGTTTTAACCACGCCTGGTCCACAGCAGCAGCTCAGGGGAAGGTTGTTCAATGAATGACGGGGCCTCCCACTGTATTTACTCAAAAGATTAGAATAATGTCAACTCCTTCAAGCTTGCCCTTCTCACCAGGACTCCCCTGCGTACAGGCTCCACCTTGGGGTCCAAGGACAGACCCCCCCAGAGCACTGCTTCCCAGGGGAAAAGGGGCGAGTGATCCGTTCAACTTCCTCTGACATGGAAACCCATTCGCATAACAAGGGGTCTCTCAGGATGAGCCGCTCTGCCCTCAGAAGGTAAAGGCTGGGCTGACAGGGAAGAGTTTGCAAGGAGCTCCTAAAGCACTTCAGAAAGTGCTCACTCCCCGGTTCTCTAGTGCAAGGACATGCTTCTTCCCTTAACCTTCAAGGGTGCAAGCCTTCCCTTCAAGCCGAACAGCATCAAACAAGGCGTGGAAAAGGAGGCCGCAGTCAGCACTTACTTCAAGGCGCTCCGGCGAGGTTCACTGTGGCCATCCCCTCCTTCAGGCCCCGCTGGCCCGGACCCTGCCACCGAGCAGCCGGCGCGCATCCCGCAGGCACCCTCACTGGGGGGCCCCATCGGAGACCCAGGGCAAGGACGCTCTTGCTCCTAGAACAAGCCATTGCAGTACTTAGATCCCAGCACTAATCCATGCTTTTCCTTATGTTTTATATTAGCTAATCCTTCCCTCAGGACGTCTCCTGGTGACGTTTCTCACTCCATCTATCGGATGCGGAGGCAATGGCCAAGTCTTATTCCGCCCGGAGAAAGCAAACCTGACCACCTGAGCAGCAGTCACACGAATCGGCCTCAGAAATGCTTAAGGGGAACCACCAGTGTCCTCAGGCCACAGGATAACAGCAATACACATGCAGAGTTCTTCCTTTTAATTCTCTTTGCTGTTATAAAGGCAGGAATTACTTCAGAATGACACGGGAGGCAAAAATAGTGACAGCTAAAAATGCAATGGGTGAAAAGCTTTCATCGCTTACTTAGATATTTAGTTATGCACCACCTAGAAACACACATTTCCGTGACAACAAATATCACAGTATCTTATCAACTACCTTAGGACAACAAAAACTGATCTAAAAAAAAAAAGCAAACTCATAAAAAATAACACACACACACTCTCTCTCCCACGCACCCTTCATCCTAGTACAAGCACGTCCCACTTGCAGCCCGCAGGCCGCACGCCTCATTTATTTGGCCGGCGTTGGCCTTTGAGTTTGACATCTTGTCCTAGAGTAAACGATTTTCAAATGGAGGCAGTTTAAAACAGAACAAGGACAGAATTAGACCATGGAGGGGGTCAACCAAGACGGTGGCAGGAGGCTCCTGGGCTCCCCTCCTCCCACAGACACTAAATGTACCACTACACACGCAGCGTCACTAGTGTCACCGCTGAGAGGAACCCCGAAAGGAGAGGACAGAAAGGGGCGCGTCCTAATAAGTGGGCAAGGTCACCTCCAGCAGCAGATCTGGTAACACCCCTTAAAAATGGTCCTCGTTTCCTTCTTTTTATCAACAGACACAAAGCCTTCAAAACTCACAGAGCACTTGTACCCCAATTAATCACTTTTAAGACTTAAAGGAACCCCTTGAAGAAGAAAAAAATTAGGTGATTATAATCAACTAGAGGCCCAATGCACGAAATTCGTCCACTGGAGGGGGGTGGGAGTCCCTCAGCCCGGCCTGCGCCCTCTCACAATCCGGGACCCGTCGGGGGATGTCCGCCAGTCAGAGACCCCTGGCTCCTTACCGCTTGGCTCGCTGCTCCTTAGCACTGCCACGGAGGCGGGAGAGGCTCCCACCATCGCCGCTGCGCTTGCCAGCCATGAGCCCAGCTTCTGGCTGAGTGGCGCTCCCGCTGTGGGAGCGCACTGACCAGCAGGGGGCAGCTCCTGCATTGAGCGTCTGCTCCCTGGTGGTCAGTGCACGTCACAGGGACCGTTTGTTCTGCCGTTTGGTCAATTGGCATATTAGGCTTTCATTATATCGGATAATCAGATTATACTCAATCTTGTCATTAGCTTAGTTTCTTAATAATCCTTCAACACCGGGGGAAATGTAAACATACTTTAATCTGAAAGAGTTCCCATTTGCGTGTGGTAACTCAGGCACTTACCTCCATAACGGCACTCCTGGCCTCGTACGCAGCAGCGTAGGGCTGTTCCGAGAGCCACAGTGATGTCAGAATGGCAGCCGCAGAGGTTCTCACCCGGAGGACGGGCCGGGCCTGGGCCGGCGCCGGGAGGCTGGGGTCGCAGGGCAGCCTGCGGGCGGCCCACCGCAGCATCCACTCCAGCAGCCCCTGCAGCCCCGTGCCGCCCGCTGCACCCAGCGCAGGAGGGAGCTCGGCCAGGGGGCCCGCGTCACTGCCCTCGATCGCTCTGAACACACGCCTTCCTCCGTGACTGCCCTCGGGAGCCCACGGACTCCGGCTGGACACCTTCAGGACGCAAGGCTTCTCTGCCCCGTCCCCCTGTGTCCTGTAGAGGGCCCTCTGCTTTAGGCCGAACAAGCCGCTCCTGCCCCCACTTCCATTAAAATCACCGAGGAGGTTCTCTGGAGGAGGCCTGGTCCCTGCGGCCAGTCCTGGGGCTGGAGGCGCCGGGCCTTCCGGGTCCTCAGGCTGCGGAGCGACCTCGAAGCAGGAGCCCGCGCGGAACACGCCCTGGCCCCTGGCTTGGCCCGGGCGCTGCAATGCTGCGTGCAGGCCCGAGAGCAGAGGGTTGAGTTCCTGTTCTCTAAAGTGCCCCGAGAAGCTCGTCAGCAACGGGATGCCGGGGTCCTCGCTGCCACGCAGGTCTCGCTCCAGGACGTAACTCAGGAAGAGGTCCAGGAACTTCACGTACTCGTCGTCATCGCGTTCAAACTCCCAGACGCCTATCACAGGAGGTGCGTTCTGCGACACCGGCTCCTGGCCTCTTCTCGCAGGGCTTCCTTTCGGATCACCCACGCTCTGGTCAGCACTGGGCTCAGCAGTCAGCGTGGATTCCACGTGACGTGGAGCCTTTCTACAGCAAAACAAAATTAGCAAAGACAAAGTTAATCATTTAATCAGTAAATCTTACGTTAGAATTGACAATAAAAATCCTATCCACTGACTAAGTGGTATTTTTTTTTAATGCTTCGATTATCTCTCTCTCAAATGAGGGGGTTGGACTAAACGATCTCTGAGTGCTCGCTAGAGCTGAACATTCTGAATCTAAAAAAAACACTAGCCCTGACCGGGTGGCTGTCAGTTAGAGCGTCCCGTCCACCAAAAGGCTGCAGGTTCAATTCCAAATTAAGGCATATACCCAGGCTGCAGGTTTGATCCCAGTCAGGCGGTGTACTGGAGACAACCAATCGATGTTTCTCTGTCCCTCTCTCTCTCTCTCTCCCCGTTCTCTCTCTCTAAAAAAATTAATAAACATACCTTTGGGTGAGGATAAAAATAAGTAAAATTTTAAAAATAAAAAATACCACACATTAATATAAAAGGAAAAATTTGTGTTGAGATACATTCACAGAAAGTTTCCTATTAGAAAACATGAATATTTTTCTGGGAGGAAAAATAAATCCTCTAACACAGCGGTCGCCAACCTTTCGGACCTCACGGACCATCAGTGGTCCTCGGACCACCGGCTGGCGACCGCTGCTCTGAAAGGTCAGAACACAAAGACAATAAAAGTCACACGGCACCGACACACCCGCTAGCCTGCGCTGCTTCTCTCGCACCTGCCTGTCCGCTCCGCAGGCACAATGTGCTCGGGCAGGCGGGGCTGCGCAGGACCCCTCCCCGCACAGAAGGAGGGACTTTTAAACACTCTCTGCTGCTACTGAACCTGCGGGGCAGGCACCTGCACTGCCAACCTGCTCTCTCTCAACATGGTCCTTGGGGCAGAACACAGACCCCGAGTTCCATGAACGAGAAGCCAGAGTTCCTGCTGGGCCGGGGCAGAGCGCCAGGTCTGCGTCTCTGCCTATAAACAGGCACAGCAGGCGGCCTCCGGGGTCAACCGGCACACCCTGCACAATTCGGTGTCAGCCGCTGTTTGGAGGAGAGGGGTGACTTCACTTAAGCAAGGGTGTGCTCAGCTACATACTCTTCCAGGTGTGAAAAGGATAAATTACATTTCAGAGACCAGAATTATAAAGAAAAAAAAACCTGCCCGGCCGGTGTGGCTCAGTGGTTGAGTGTAGACCTATGAACCAGGAGGTCATGGTTCAATTCCTGGTCAGGGCACAGGCCCGGGTTGTGGGCTCAATCCTCAGTGTGGGGCGTGCAGGAGGCAGCCCATCAACGATTCTCTCTCATCATTGATATTTCTCTCTCTCTCTCTCCCTTCCTCTCTAAAATCAATAAAAATGTATTTAAAGGAAAAAGTCTGCTTAAATAAGAGTGCAGAGGTTTAAATGATAAGCAAGAATCTCTCAACAATTTAGGGGCAAGTTTCAAAAATGAAATGTGCAATTTCCTTCCCTTGAAACTAAAAAAAAAATAAGTTAGCTAACCCCCAAACCCTGAACTATTTAAGTCTGGAGATTACTAAAAGAACTAAATTCTTCCAGTGAACTCCAGCATTCAACCTACTCATTTGATTTTACACTTTCAGGTGACAAATTATTTCCTGTCTCAATAACGGTTTTAATGGCTTTTCTAATGCACAGTCTCATCTGCATTCCCAGCGTCCTGTGAGGAGGGAGGGTAGTGCTCATTCCCATGAACAGGCCAAGCAGTGAGGTCGCTGGGGCTGGAACCCAGCCCCTCAGTTGCATGAAAATATTGAGACACTTTTTCCAAAGGAAGGGACCACCTGCTATTGAGAGCGCTCAGCTGTACCTGCGATAGAAATGCGTCCCACTCCTTCCTCCGGCCGACCGAGCCTCCGAGAGCGAGTCGGCCTCGCTGTGGCCCGGGGGCGTGCCCAGGTCTGTGAGTGTGCTCCTGCTCAGGCTCGTCCCCAGGGAGCACCCCTCGAACCCGGGACCCTCAGCGGGCTTGTCATCCTCCACGGGCTCCCAGACGTGCCTCTCGAAGGGACCTATGTTTCTCTGCACGCGTTTGAGGGCCTTCACCCTCACTTTGTGGATGGAACGCATGACAACAGACATCGCTTCCTCGGTGTGGGGGCCTGGGAGGAAAGAAGGCAAGGTTTCTGTTCATTAAAAGGTTTCAGCTCGCCCTAACCGGTTTGGCTCAGTGGATAGAGCGTCGGCCTGCGGACTGAAGGGTCCCAGGTTCGATTCCGTCAAGGGCATGTGCCTTGGTTGCAGGCACATACTCAGTAGGGAGTGTGCAGAAGGCAGCTGATCGATGTTTCTAACTCTCTATCCCTCTCCCTTCCTCTCTGTAAAAAATCAATGAAATATATATTTTTTTAAAAAGGTTTCAGCTCGAGAAGGGGCCTGCCTCTGGTCCCTCCTGAGGACACAAAGCCCTCCGACAAGTAAGGCCCCTTCCCCTCCAGATCGGGCCTCCATCAGGACTCGTTAGGCCACAGTCCACACTCCCCGCGGAAGCCGGAGAAGGCCCCTAAGAGTAAAAGGGACAGGACCCTGGCCCGGCCGGTGTGGCTCAGTGGTTGAGCGTCAATCTATGAACCAGGAGGTCACGGTTTGATTCCCGGTCAGGGCACATGCCTGGGTTGCCAACTGGATCCCCAGTGTGGGGTGTGCAGGAAGCAGCCAATCAATGACTGTCTTCATCATTGATGTTTCTATCTGTCTCACTCTCTCCTTCCTCTCTCAGAAATCAATAAAAACATATATATTTTTTAAAGTGTACCCTGGAAAACAAAAATTATAAAGTAACTTAACCACCTTAGACATCAGAACAATAACTATAAAAAGAAACACTTTTTCTATCCCCACAGAGCGGTAAATAATCGAAAATGAGTATAATTTTAGCCAAAGAAACAAGGATACCTTCTGACTTCAACTAATGGGAAACAATGGAAAGGGAAGTTTTTTGAGGCTGCCTATAAAAAAGTTTAAATATTAATACCTACCAAGACATTTTAGGTTTTAGAGAACGCCAAAAACATCTTTAAAAAAATAGAAATCAGGCCCTAGCTGCTTTAGCTCAGTGGATAGAGTGTCGGCCTGCGGACTGAAGGTCCCAGGTTTGATTCTGGCCAAGGGCACATGCCCGGGTTGTGGGCTCCACCCCAGGAGCATGTGTGCAGGAGGCAGCCGATGCATGATTCCCTCTCATCATTCATGTTTCTCTCTCTCTCTCCCTCTTCCTTCCTCTCTGAAATCATAAAAATATATTTAAAAAAATAGAAATCATAAGTGCAATATAAGGATATGAATGCAGTCATGTGCAATCACAGGACATAACTAGACCTAAATACTAGATTAGCTCTAAACATGTGGGTAATTTGAATTCTTTTAACATTTCCACATCATGGTCAAGGCACTTAATGCCACTGAACTCTACACTTAAAATGGCAAATTTCATATTATGTATGTTTACCACAATAAAAACATAATTTCCACAAGATCATCTTGAATGTGTAGGATAAACCTAGAAGCATAAATAACCATAAAGAGAAAGAATACTAGTTTTCAATAAAATATTCACATTATGAAAAGCTCTATGTGCTCATTTTATAGAATTTATCTTACTTAATCCTCTTTCAATACACATTCTTAGGCCCGGATTAAGATAGTCATTTCACAAATACGGAAATGAGGCTCAGAGGGACTGAGCCCTTGACCGGTCACACGTTAGTTACTAAGTAACAGAGCCACGCGAGAGCCGGGTCCTGTCTGCTCCCTGCGGATCTGCTGCTGCACCAGGGAAGGGCCCCGCCTGCTCACCCCGTCTCCGAGGAGAGGAGAGGAGAACTGGAGGACCAGTGCTTTCCAGACAGACGAGGGTCCCCAGCAGCCCGCCCAGCAGATACGGAGAAACGACGGACAGTACCTTTCACGACGCAGCGGCCGAGTCTCTGCCGGAGGGAGTGATACTTTTCTCTTAAAGGAACCCTTATGTCCTCAGGATTGGGAAATGCTTTCACAAACACGTCTGCTACCTTCAGAAAAATTAAAAAGTGAGCTTCATGAGCAACATCATCCTTAATTAAAAGAAAAATCCCTTAGAGTTTCTGATCCTGACTTAGTTACGGTTCACCGACATTCACATTACCTTCCTGATCGGTGGCAGTTCTCCAATAAGGCTCAAAATGAGGTCCTGAATCAGTTCTTCGATGTTAGAAAACCGAGAGAAGGGCAGCATTCTGCAAGCCCACTCCACCGCACAGAGACAGTGCTCAACCGCGCAAGAGTCAAACTCCACGGCCAGGTCCTAAACGGACATTGAAAAAAATCAATCCTTTCCCCTCCAGATGGGCAGGCCAGAACACATTCAAAAGAAAATGTGCTCCAAACACTAAAACCCATCAAGCAACAGTTTTGCAAGTAATGCCTGTTCGTTTTTCTTACTCTTTTGCCAGGTAAGTACCTTCTTTCCCTCCACGTTTTCTCTTGCTTTCTGATACTGCCTGCAACTAGAGGATAACTTATCGCGGACATGCAGCATCCAGCACAACGCACACAGCTCTCGGAAGCACCCTAAGTCAGGACACAAACGGGAGAGGTCGCATGAGGACGGACACTGATTAACAACGTCAACTCTCTCTGCTTGTTTCCCCCCCCCCACAAATCAATGTATTTTCTTTTTTTAAATATATTTCTTTATTGGTTTCAGAGAGGAAGGGAGAAGGAGAGAGAGATAGAAACATCAATGATGACAGAGAATCATTGATCGGCTGCCTCCTGCACGCACCCCACTGGAGATTGAGCCCGCAACCCAGGCACGTGCCCTTGGCCGGAATCGAACCTGGGATCCTTCAGTCCGCAGGCTGACGCTATATCCACTGAGCCAAGCCGGCTAGGGCTGTATTTTCTTGATTATAAAAGAAACATATACTCATCATCAACACCTTACATAAGGTTATGGAGAACCTTCCAGAATTTTTATGTATATTATTAGTCTAGAATAGTTCATGCAGGTCAATTGCATGAAAATATTAAAAAGACTGTTAAAGAATAAATAACTTACTCTATTACTGGTAGTCACTTGCTTTAAGCTCAATAGTACATGGTAGATACTATTTAAGCCAATGTATTCACCTGTACTTAATGCTATATAGTTAATTTGTTTGGAAAATCACTTATAGATAGGCATTTAAGTTTACAATTTTTCTATACTAAAACATAATTTCCAGTATCAATTAATATTTTTTATTAAAACCAAGTCGGTGGATGGAATGTTGGCCTGCGGACTGATGTTGGCCTGCGGACTGATGAGTCACAGGTTCGAGTCTGGTCAAGGGCACATGCCTGGGTTGCAGACTCAATCTCCTGTGGGGGTGTGCAGGAGTCATCATTCATGTTTCCTCTCTCTCTCTCTCTCTCTCTCTCTCTCTCTCTCTCTCTCTCCCTTCCTCCCTGAAATCAATGGAAACATATTTAAAACAAAAACAAAAGCAATACAAGTACATAAAGACATATAAAATCCTATTATGCAGTTATCTTTTCTCTTCACCTATTGTATCTTGGATTGATTTCCATGGTGCTAACACACACAGTCTTTTCATTGCCAGGAGAGTATTCTGTTGTATGGAAACTTCCCCAAATCAAGTGTAAAGTAGATCATTTATTAACGGCCTAAGCAAGCAGTTCCTTTGGGACAAACCTATTGCTTTAATGGAAACCTCATCCAGCTTGTTGTCTCCCGTTGCTCCAGGTCGGAAGAAGGCTACGCCACCCACACAGTAGTGAAGCAATGACGGAGGGAAGGGACTCAGGGACGGGAGGGACCCTTTCATTCGAATCTGAAAGTGAAGAACAGGATATGTTAACTGTCAGCTGCATAAATCAACGTCTAAGGAAACTATAAAGCAACAGGCAGCAGGTAAAGATAAACCATAGAGAATGGAAAACGCAGCAAGGTTCCTATACTACCCAAGAAAAGCGTCCTGAAATCAGCCATACTTTCAGAAACTCAGCTCACATATTTTCTTCAAAAAGTTCACTAGGCTCAATCTCAAAAGAGAACAAAAGGTTTAATCAAAGTATCCTTTTGTCACTCAGTTATGTCCGTACAAAAAGAATTTAATGCTTTTGTCCTTGCTCCAAAGGCGTGATAAAGAAATTAAAGTATCTAACTTTCACCTAAAATAAAACTATGTGTACGCCCAGTTGGCATGGCTCAGTGGTTGAGCCTCGACCTGTGAACCAGGAGGTCACGGTTCGATTCCAATTAGGGCGCATGCCCAGGTTGTGTGCTCAGTCCCCAGTGGGGGATGTGCAAGAGGCAGCCAATCGGTGATTCTCTCTCATCATTGATGTTTCTCTCTTTCTCCCTCTCCCATCCTCTCTGAAATCAATAAAAATATATTTAAAAAATAAAACTATGTGTAGTACCTAAAAACAAATACAATATAAGGTAGATCTACATACATAACTTTTGAAAAACTAATCCATAAATGACAGAATTAGAAAGTCACCATTTGCAACCCCTAATAAAATAAGACCTCTAGCAAGGATCATCAATAAATGCTAAATTTAGTGAAAAGTTGATGAGTGATGGATGACGTGCCAGTGGGTGGGTCATGACACAAACTCACTGGCCCACCTCGCAATCACTGAAACCAGATAAGGTGACAAGACTAAGGAGCACTAATTGGTGGTTACAGAATAGTCACAGGGATGTAAAGTCCAGCATAGGGAAATCTATATACAGTGGGGCCTTGACTTACGAGTGTCCCGACTAACGAGTTTTTCGAGATACAAGCTGTCTCTTGGCCGATTTTTTGCTTTGAGTTGCGAGCTAAAATTCGGGTTACGAGCCAGCTCCAGATACCCCACCGCTAGTTGGCGCAGCGAATGTCACAGTGAACGCCACAACATCAGCCCAGCATCACGTGTCTCACTCGTTCACTTTTTGATTTGACATACGAGTAATTTGAGTTACAAGCTCCGTCACAGAACGAATTAAACTCGTAAGTCAAGGCCCCACTGTATATAAAAGCCTAAGTGACCGGCTGACCGGCCAGTAGCTATGACACACAATGACCACCAGGGGGCAGACGCTCAACACACAGGCATGGAAACATGGAACAGCCTGATGAATCTCAGAGGGAAGAGGGGAAGGAGAAGGGCTTGAAGAGATTAACCAAAGATCTTATATGCATACTACAGGCCTGCAGGGATCGGGCCAAAACCGGCAGTCCAACATCCCCAAGGGGTCTCGGATTTCGAGAGGGTGCAGGCCAACCTGAAGGAACCCACTGGTGTACAAACCCGTGCACCGGGCCTCTAGTATTGTAATAACAGTGTATGGTGCCAAGTGGGTACTGGAAATATTAGAACATTTTGTCAAGTATATGATTATCTAACAACTATGCTGTACATCTGAAACTAATACAAAATAATGTTGAATGTAAACTGTAATTAAAAAACATTTTATTGAAAAAATAAATTACCGAAAGCACACATACACATACATGCAATTCTCACACACATACACACGGAAAAAAAACAGACTGTGGAGAAAGATTAAACACTATCCAAGAAATGCTGCTAACTGTTAAAATCTAGTGATAAGTTCAGTATGAACTGTACTATTCTTTTTACTTTTATATTTTTAAGTTTTCATAACAAAGTTTTATAAAACAACTGTCCCACATTTTCCTAATTTATTTTTATGTTGTCAGAAAAATTATTCTGTATAGTTTTTTTATAAACATTTTTTAACAGCTTTACATCTAGAGAAAAACTGAAGTGACAGCACAGAGGGTTTCCACGCAGGTTCCCATTATCAACAGCTTACATCATTACAGTGCACTTGTTATCATTAATGAACCAATATTTTGATACATTAACTAAAGACCGTACCTTATTCAGATTTCCATGGTTTTTAGTAAACATACAAAAAACATCCACACCTTCGGGATGACAAAATAGAGGATGAGTACACACCTTTCTCTCTAAAAAGTGACCAATTTTCAAGAACAACTTGATAAACCACTTCTCGGAGCCTACGGGGTCTGTCCTCATAAAGAAGAAGGTGTGGATGCTTGTTTTTAACGTGATCAAGGGCCAAATGAAAAGTACTGGGGGCTAATAAACTGATTTCCACATCCAGAGAGAGAGACTGCAGCCTACGAAGGACCTGCAGCAGGACCGGGGCCTCCGGGCAGACGTCCCCTCCAGCTCAGGTCAGGCAAGAAGGCAGCTACCGCCGGCTGCAGCCAGGGCGGGAGACCACAGCCCAGGGAGCTGCCCGTCTCAGCAGCCGGCAGGGGCACTGGCTGGTGGGGCCACTGACAGGAGACACAGAGCCAGGAGCAACCTCACTTCCTGTGATTCCACCCCACAGAGCATCTGCAATACCTCGGGGAGACGTCGGAGAAAACCATGAACTGAGTTTAAATCCCCAATGACTGGGGTGGGGGGCACGGAATGTAACTGAAATTAACTGACTATATTATACTTCCTTTTATATATATATATATATTTTATTGATTCCTTACAGAGAGGAAGGGAGAGGGAGAGGGATACAGAGTTAGAAACATTGATGAGAGAGAAACATCGATTCAGCTGCCTCCCGCATGCCCCCTACTGGGGATGTGCCCGCAACCCAGGTACATGCCCTTGACCGGAATCGAACCCGGGACCCCTCAGTCCGCAGGCCGATGCTCTATCCACTGAGCCAAAATGGTCAGGGCAACTTTCTTTTTTTAAATATATTTTTTAATTGATTTCAGAGAGGAAGGGATAGGGAGAAAGAGAGCAAAACATCAGTGATGATAGAGAATCACTGATCAGCTGCCTCCTGCACACCCCGGACTGGGGATCGAGCCTGCAACCTGGGCATGTGCCCTGACCGGGAATCGATCCGCAACCTCCTGGTTCCTAGGTTGATGCTCAACCACTGAGCCACACTGGCCGGGCCAGGGACCCAGCGCAGAGTCCGCGTCGTTCAGCAGAAAGAACTTGGTCTGTGGAGGTTTACTGTGGTAAGTCTGACTAGGGATTGACAGGCAAGACCCCATGGACACACGTCCCCGTCACCAATCCTAAGGAAGGCTGGCCAGTTTCCGCGGCTCACAGCACGTGCAGGAGACCCGCCTACCTTCTGCATGACCTTCCTGGCCCACCTCAGCTGCAGGATGTACCACTGCGCGGCCGGGAAGGAGCAGCGCGCCGCCCGGAGGAGCAGGAGCAGGCGCTGCAGGATCCCGGACACCTTCTGGCGGTTCTCCTTCTCAGCTCGTAACAGAAGATCGTCACCGTCCTCCTGAGGAAATGCAACAGTCACATCCTGTGGCCAGCAATAGGAAAGCTTTTAATGTTAACGTGCAAGTAGCCAGTGCTTTGGGACCTAGAACGCTCCTGGAGGTTTATAAAGAAAACGCTGAGTCCTGGCCTGAGGTTTCACCCAGAGCGATGGCTAGCGTCCGGGGAACACTTCTCTCCCCGCGAACAATGGAAAGGGCTAAATCAGTGGTTCTCAACCTTCTGGCCCTTTAAATACAGTTCCTCATGTTGTGACCCAACCATAACATTATTTTTGTTGCTACTTCATAACTGTAATGTTGCTACTGTTATGAATCGTCATGTAAATATCTGATATGCAGGATGGTCTTAGGTGACCCCTGTGAAAAGGTTGTTCGACCGCCAAAGGGGTCGCGACCCACAGGTTGAGAACCGCTGGGCTGAATGGACCCTAATCCCAGATCATCCCCGACAACAGGCGAAGGCCACCACTCCGACCCCATCGGCAGAACCGTGCCGAGAGCTCCTCTCCCCGAGGCCAGGCCTCTGCCGGGGAAGTCCTTCTATCTCGTGTCACCTCCTCTTGGAGCCCGCCCACTGAGCTGCTGTGGCACTCTGCTCAGACCTCCGCTGTATCTTCACTAATTTATTCTGAACTGATTTATCACGTTTCCCACTGGACTGAGAACTAGGCAAGAGCAAAGGCCTTGCCACATGCCTTGGTTCACACAATAAAGTCCAACATGTAGTAGGAGGAGCCAACCAATGTTTTTTGAAAAACACTTTTCCAGTCCGTAGCTAGTGATTAATTCCCCAGAAAATGAGATAATGTGTTGCAAACATCTGCTTCCCCAATACCCTAACCACTGCTGCTTATTTAACTGCACTCAGTTTTAACTGGGCATCTCCCCCGGCCCTGCATTTGTTGATGCTTACTATGTCCTAGGGCCTATGGTTAAAAAATAAATAAAAATTTACATTTAAAAAATATATATTTTTATTGATTTTTAGAGAGAGACAGGGAGAAGGAGAGATAGAAACATTGACAAGGGAGAAACATCGATCAACTGCCTCCCTCATGCCCCTTGCCAAGGATCGAGCCCACAACTCCAGGCATGTGCCCTGACTGGGAATCGAACCCATGACCTCTTGTTGCAGGGGCCAAGCTCAACCACTGAGCCACACCAGCCAGGCAAAGCTTTGACATTTAACCCCCACAATAATGCCACTGGAAGTCTTATCATCACCGGCATTTTACACATGAGGAGCTTTAAGCAGCTACATACACTGCATAAAATCACACAATTAATAAACAGCAAAGCTGGGATCCAGAAGTCTGCCTTCAGAGCTCGCATTTTTATTCTCAAGTTAATTGTTTTTAAAATTGGACAGAATCAACTTTAAGTTAAAAGGTCCGCTTACTTCGCTGAGAAGCGCTGGCTGAGGACAGTAGAGCGGAGGAGCGGGGAGGTACAGGCCGCCGGGCACCAGGCCCCAGAGCCTCCGGCTGAAGTCCTTGGCGGAGCCGATCAGAAGCCGCCACGTCTCCGAGAGCACGTCCGCCTCGGCCATGGCCGCGGCCTTCAGCACTCCCCGCACGGAGCCCAGCAGCAGGTGTGCGTCCTCCTCTTCAATGGGATCTGCACACGCGTCAGGTGACACAATTAGAGTCTGTATTACACTGCGCATCCTGCTTTGCAGGGTAACAGCTCACATCGGAAAAAAGCTGGTCATCGAAAACAAGCATATTGGTTGACATGCAAAACATCCAACCTTCCAGACAGAAATTTAATGACTATTCTGTTACTTTAGGTTATAGGCAATCATAGCACAGGCACTTTCCCCAAAATTAGACATTGCAGTAGTAACTACGTATAATAAGAATAGTTTTGAAGTATAATTCTGAGTCAAAAAAAAAAAGAAAAAATATTAGAGCAAAAAATATCAAGAAAGACAGCCAAATAAAATACAACATTATGTGAAGGCAATGGGAGAGTAATAGTGATTTCTAAAATTTTTTCTTCGTAATCCATCATGGTACTTCTATAATAGTTAATAAAAATGACTTCAAGGATGCTCAGCATGCTTTAAGGCTTAGCATATAGTATGAAAGCAACGCCTGTGCCGGGCTGGTGTGACCCAGTGGCTGAGTGTCATCCCAGCACCAAGAGGTTCCAGGTTCAATTCCTGGTCAGGGCACACGTTACGATCTGCAGGGGGAGCCAATGAGTGCTTCTCTCCCTCTCCCTCTCTCCCTCTCCTTTCTTCTCTCAAAAATCAATGAAAACATATTTCTAAAAAGTTTATTAAAAAAAGTAACGCCACTTGCCTGGCCATTGTGGCTCAGTGGTTGAGCGTCAACCTATGAACCAGGAGGTCACGGTTCAATTCCTGATCAGGGCACATGCCCAGGTTGTGGGCTTGATCCCCAGTGTGGGGCCTGCAGGAGGCAGCCAATCAATGATTCTCTCTTATCATTGATGTTTCTATCTCTCTCCCTCTTCTTCCTTTCTGAAATCAATAAAAATATATATATTTTAAAATAAATAGTACACTTTTATTTTCAATAAGCTTACTTCAAAGTGTTAATATACTTGTGGGTATTTACCAGCTTCTTAAAATACCACAAGGCTCATTAATTAACCAGCTCTATCTGTCAGGCCTGTGTGGGTAACGCACCTGTAAACTGTTTGTATTTTGAGCCCATTTCTCTTTTTGCTCCCGAAGAGGCCGGCTGACCTAACAGACACTGGAGTTTCTCCTGGAAAATCCGTGCTGGAGTCATGTTGAACGGCAGATTCTGGCCCTTTTTCTTGAGCCTGAAATCACATTGAATTAGGAGAAAAGACTCCAAATTTTCAAAAAAGCAAATATTCACACATCGGGAACTACACGTGAAGTTTGAGAAACAGTGGGCCAGACCTGCCTCGGCCAAATGCCTCTGCTTGTGTTTGGAAAGTTCTCTCTCCCTGTAGCTACTCCATTGTCAAGATCCCGCCTTCCCTTCCATGCCCACCTCCAATGGCATCTCCCACACAGGCATTTCCGTCCTCCCCCCCCGCCCCCGGGGTCTCTGCTCTCCCCAGCCCCGCGGCCCGTTCTCACCGAGGCATGTACACTAGAGTGAGGTGCCGTTTCCTACCAAACTATAAAGCCTTAAGCGTAGAAACTAGGCACGATTTAGGTTTATATCCACGAATACACCTGGTATAGAGTATGTACAGAGAGGTTACTTAATAAGAAAATACATGCTTAGTTACTGACGTGAAAAATATAAAAGACACGGTAGTACCATAACATACAGAGAAGTTAAAATACAGAGATTGGTGCCCTAACCAGTTTGGCTCAGTGGATAGAGCGTCGGCCTGCAGACTGAAGGGTCCCAGGTTCGATTCCAGTCAAGAGCATGTACCTCGGTTGCGGGCACATCCCCAGTAGGGGGTGTGCAGGAGGCAGCTGATCGATGTTTCTCTCTCATCGATGTTTCTAACTCTCTATTCCTTCCCCTTCCTCTCTGTAAAAAATCAATAAAATATATTTTTAAAAAAATTATAAAATACAGAGATTGGTTTGACTAGCTTAAACTCAAATCCGGGACAAACTCTCCCATTGACTATAAGCTCTTTGAGGGCACTACTAACAAATTAATACTCCAAATAGGCATTTTAATACAAAAATAAGCAAGCCACTGAGCTGCGTGCATCGATTTAAATTTAAATGAGGTTTGCCCTAACCGGTTTGGCTCAGTGGATAGAGCATCAGCCTGTGGACTCAAGAGTCCCAGGTTCGATTCTGGTCAAGGGCATGTACCTTGGTTGCGGGCTCATCCCCAGTGGGGGATGTGCAGGAGGCAGCTGATCGATGTTTCTCTCTCATCGATGTTTCTAACTCTCTATCTCTCTCCCTTCCTCTCTGTAAAAAATCAATAAAATATATTAAAAAAATAAAAAATAAAAAAAAATTAAATGAGGTTGGAAATTCGGTTCCTTGGTCTTACTGGCCACAGCGCACGTGCTCAGTGGCTGGACACACAGACATCCCCTCACGGAGGCAAGTCCTCCGGGACCAGGCTGAGCGGAGACGCCCGCAGAAGGGGTCAGAGGGATGAAAGGCACTTTAGCGACACTCTTCCTCCCTCCCTCGGGTCTGCGTGAACGTGCGCACCTGGTGGGGCCGAGGCCCCGGCGGCTCAGCTGGGAGGCCACGCCGATGGACACAGCCGTCTTCCAGTCCCCGAGCTCCTGTGCCAGCCACACGGCTTCCGGGACCAGGCCGCCGATCAGCAGCAACTCCAGGGCGTAGTCCACGGTCCACACGCGGGAGAGGCTCTGCTCTCTGACGGCACTGGCCACGGCGGCGTGCTGCAGGGGGACGCACCGCGGGGCCGGCTCTGTGCGAGGAGAGAACACGCCATCACAACACGCGCAGCCACTCCCGCTCCTCACCTGGGTACGGCAACTCTTCATGGCAGCTCCTACACACACCCAGCAAGGAAGAAGCATACAACACGGGCTAACATACTACTTCACACTAGGAGAGCTACACACTGCAGAATGCGCCTCGTTCGTGGGTCGGGAAGCGAGTGCCAGCGTCTTAAGAAGGAAACAGAACGGGCAGCCACAGAAGCCGCAGAGGCAGAGCGGAGCGCATGGCAGGGTCAAGGTGGACACAGGTCAGGAAAGCGTCTGTGTCACGTCCGACAAGCAGAGGGGCACTCGTACATGTCAGTGCAGGATCACAGTGCACATCGATTCCTGTGTCTCTCTCTCACTAGATCATGAGCTCCGGAGGGCACACATGGAAGTTTACCTGACCTCGTATTCCTCATGTCATGCAAAAAAAAAACACAGCAAAAAACCACAGCTTATTTGAGGTAACACTGGAGCACATTCAGTGTTCAATACATCAGTGTTTTTTAAGGAAGTTGGAAAGCGTCGTTTTCAATTTGTAAATTACAAACCTGGCCTGGGATTAAATACAAAGGGTGACGCCTGCCTCCCCAGCTGTCTGTACCTTCCCTCACTGAAGCAAACGAATCAACAACATGAGAATACGATGACAGGACTATTATTTATTTTTTTTTTAGGACTATTATTTTTGTAAAAATACCTATTGCTAAGATTTTCACTTATTCCCTCAAAATAAAACTGGCAAATGTGAGCAGCCGATCGATGTTTCACTCTCACATCACTGTTTCTCTCTCTCCCTTCTCCCTTCCTCTCTCTCTGAAAGCAATAAAAAAATATTTTTTAAAGTTAACTATCTGAGTAAAATTACGTTCTAAATTAGCATACACAAAATCTGTTTAATTTTTATAGAAATGAAGATGGCAGCACTTTGACTTTAAAAATGAAAACTTTATAAATACCAGCTTATCCAAAATTTGTGATTTAAAAAATCCAAATTAAAAAACCCGAGCAATCACCTTTCTCAGACTTTATTCATTCACACATGGTCACTGAGTGTCTCCGGTGCGCCAGGCACTAAGCTGACAGCATTCCTTCCATAAAGTGACGATCACTGCGTAATATTGTTTTAAATATTACAAGCAACAACAAGGTGAGAACATTGTTTACCTGTTTTAATGTGAAGGGGAGGCAGGACGTTCACGTGGTGAGGGGGCAGAATGCAGAGCCGCTGGTTGGTGAAATAGGCGGCCATGAACCGGGCCATGGACTGGACGACCCTCACTGCGGCCTCGGGGTGGGCAGGCCCGGGCAGTCCCCACGCGGGAGCTAAGGGACACAGCAAACGAGCAGAGGAGATTCTGGTCAGACCATCACGAAGTGGCAACATCTAAGTTCCCAGCATTATCTAGGAGGGAACTCATTAGTTTTGTTTAAATGAGCACCCAGGGCCGGTACAAGTAAATTTATGATAGGCACCTAGACTTCCTTTTTTTATGATAGGCATCTAGAGCCCATACACTTAGGAACTTGTGTGACTTTAAGTTAATAGTTTTATTTAAAAATGTGGAGGATCCAAGCAAAGCAATCTAGCCACAATGCACTTGCCAGTCCAGAATTAACCCTAACCAGGCAGAACCACCACCGTTTATCATAAGCAATTTCCTATCTAAACCTGTAAGTGCACGTTAACACGAAGAAAGATGCCGATCTCTGGAAAACGTACCCGAACCATCTTCATTTTCCCTCACAGGTAGGTGGGACCGTCTCAGCAGTTCTCTCACTAGCTGATCGCACAAACCTTGGGCATCGTTTAGATTATAGCTATACAGGTGGCAGTACAAAAGGGACAGGTAATAGCGCATCTGAAGAAAGCAGGTCCTTCTTCCTCCTTAAAGCAGAGAGAATTAAGCTTCTGTTAAAAACGTTAGCAAGGCCAGGTTCTTGGCCTGGGTGCTGGGCAGACACTCTGGGGGTGTTCCGTTTATGAAACCCATGAAGCTGTATACTCTCGTTATGTGAACCTTCCTGTATTTGTTTTATCCTATATAATAAAAGGCTAATATGCAAATCGACTGAATGGTGGAACGACTGGTTGCTATGACACTCACTGACCACCAGGGGGCAGACGCTCAGTGCAGGAGCTGCCCCCTGGTGGTCAGTGCACTCTCACAGGGGGAGCGCTGCTCAGCCAGAAGCCGGGCTCAAGGCTGGCGAGCCCAGCAGCGGTGGCGGGAGCCTTCCCCACCTCCGCAGCATTCGGACATCCCCTGAGGGCTCTCAGACTGCAAGAGGGCGCAGGCTGGGCTGAGGGACCCCCGCCTCCCCAAGTGCACGAATTTCATGCACTGGGCCTCTAGTACTTCAATAAAAGATGCTTTAAATTCTTTAAGAAAACAGGTGAGCAATGCATTGTTCTTTTTCACTTTAAGTTCTGAAGAGTTTTATTTTCTTTCATCAGGCCCAGGATGACTAAGATTTTATCCAAAGAGAGCTGTAATCCTCGTTCCCTCAGCACTAAGGTTCACTAACATCTGTCTCAAGCACACATGGTCTGAAACGAAGGGAAGGGTGTGAGCCCCTCCCCCCGCAGCCATGACCAAGAAGCCAAACACACATCAAACAGATGGTCAAAGAGCCTCCCCAAAGAAGAAGAAGCCGGTAGGATGGGAGTCCCTGCCCACATCTGAGGGTGCTTAGGACTGAGAATGCTGGCCGCCTGTCCCTTGTCCGTTCTGTCTGTCTGCAAGACAAAATCTTACTCCCATGGCCACTGCACACGCTACGTTCCTTTCCCATCTGTTCTCCATCTACCTCTCACCACCCTACCCCCAATTTACACACACACCTCGTATGATCTGGTCCTGCGAAAACACCTGCAGTTCACCAACGGCCACGGTTCCGCGTGTCCTAGTGCTTCTGGAATGCGGTATCCTCTGTTAAACCATTCCCTGTCCTTTAACTGGCCAACTTCTACTCCATTTTAAATGCCAGCCCCCCAGGGGCTCCCCAGGCTGGGGTGTACCCCAGCCCCGACTGTGGGGCGCACTCTCCTGTGCTTCCCGGCACCCACCACACGAGGTGAGAAGAGCGCTAGCTGCTCACATCCTCTCTCCTGCAGACGGTGGGAAACTGGAGGGGAAGGCTGTTTACCTCAGTGAGTCCCGGGGCCTAACTCAGTGCCAGGCACACAGCAGGTTAGATAGACGACAGAAGGAAACGTAAAAGCCACAGGAGGCAGGAAATGTATTTAACTGGCCAAGCTGACCCCGTAGCAGCTGCATCAGGCTGGTTCCAAGGTCGCCTGGTGGGAACCTCTGTCTTCTCAGCCACACCCTCAGCCCTAGAGCACATGAACTACCACCAGCTTCCAGGATCCATAGCATACTCCATGGAGCCCACACTCAGCTCAGCAGTAAGCCTAACTCACAGGAACTTGTTAAGGGCAGACAGCATGAGCCCCACTCCGTAAGAGGTGATACGGTATTTGACCCAGTTTCTCATTTAGATACAGTGGGGCCTTGACTTACGAGTGTCCCGACTAACGAGTTTTTCGAGATACGAGCCGTCTCTCAGCCGATTTTTTGCTTTGAGTTGTGAGCTAAAATTCGGGTTACCAGCCAGCTTCAGATACCCCACCGCTAGTTGGCGCAGCGAACGTCACAGTGAACGCCACAACATCAGCCCAGCATCACGTGTCTCACTCATTCAATTTATGATTTGACATACAAGTAATTTGAGTTACGAGCTCTGTCACGGAACGAATTAAACTCCTAAGTCAAGGCCCCACTGTACTTTCAGTCCCTCTAAATGACAAAATGACACATAGATTTTTAGGACCTAAACCTCATTTTCCCCATCAACAGGCAATCACGGGTTCCATCACTAACCCCAAAAAGGACGGAAGAAGCCTTATCTGTAGACAACAAAAAATTCTTGGTTCTACAAATTCCAAGACTAAGACTAACTTTATTTATTTTTTTTTAATATATTTTTATTGATTTTTTACAGAGAGGAAGGGAGAGAGATAGAGAGCTAGAAACATCGATGAGAGAGAAACATCGATCAGCTGCTTCCTGCACATCTCCTACTGGGGATGTGCCCGCAACCCAGGTACATGCCCTTGACCGGAATCGAACCTGGGACCTTTCAGTCCGCAGGCCGACGCTCTATCCACTGAGCCAAACCGGTTTCGGCATAAGACTAACTTTAAATAAAACTAATTTTAAGTAAGTATTTCTGACAGTCCAGGTTCCTACAATACGTGTTACTCTATTTGAGCATGAAGAAGTTCTGAGCACTCGCATTTGAAATTATTTTTTCGCTCTGGAGTATGCTAACATTCGTTCCTACCGATCTCATGGCGAATATTATTTTTAATGACCCCCTACCCTTCTCTTGGGTTTCTTGCAGAGCTTTCCTCCACAGCTCAACAGCCTTTTCATAGGATCCTAACAGGAAGCACTCTTCACCTGCAAAGTTTTTAACCAACGATTAGTTATGGTTAATTATATCACTTCATAAAAATGTACTTTGTTTTAAAACCCGGTGTTTTAGCTCATCCAGAAATTTTGAAAAACAAGTAATTGTGACCAGTTAACACAGACAAAGCCCCGTTAGCTGTTTTGCTTACTTATGGGGTGAGGAACGGGGTATGAGACACTGACCGCTGATAGGTTTGAGCTCTAAGGTTTGGCCCAGGCAGGCTCCGGCTGTCTGTAGGTTCGCCTGGATGTGACATAACAGGGACCGGACAGCAGCTGCTTCCTGGGCCACCTTTGCAGGTAACGGTCTGTCAGCTTCAGGAACTCTTCGACTTAAATGGCTCTGATACCATAAAGTCTTTTGATACAGGACTCTCCACAGAAACACCAATCTGCACACAAAATTAGGCGACCATCAAACCAAATTTCAGACGAGGGGTAAGAATCAGTATAGCCTCCTGACTGGCCTGCATTCTTCACTGATATAATAACACACACACACGAACTGACCGAATTTAAATACAGCACAAAGGCCACTGACCAAAACCATGCATAATATAGTTTTTAAATCTTCACAAATGCTTTATGCACCTGTGGTCACTTTTCTCTAGTGCTTACCTAAACCAACATCTCTCAACAGTACCTGGTTGCCCAAGACTAATAAAATGTGTGTGTGGAATAGCATCTGTGCTAAAATACTTTCCGATAAAATCAAATCTGTAAGGCTGAGTGCTGACGGAGACAAGGTTTCTTTTAGGGGTGATAAAAATATTCTGGAGTTAGTGTTAATAGTTCTAGGACCTTGTGACTATTCTAAAAACAAATCACTAAACTTTAAACTTTAGAACGGTGAGATTTATAGTATGGGAACCACAGCTCCATGTTTTAAAAAGGAAAACAATCTATACTGCGGATGGTATCCTAACTTTACAGGAATCGTACCTGCGTCCTGGCTGCTGAACGAGGTTTACTACTGGAGGACGCATCTTGAAAGACGCGTTCCAAGGCCAGTCGTCCCGGGAAGCACTATCTTGAAATGTTTGAAAAACGGGAACCACCAGGGAGTCCTGACTGGCTGTTCTCCTCCCATCAGCTGTCGCCAAGACTTCCGGCTGGAGACGGTCTCGGCCATTTAAGTGGTCAGCCACCATCCTGAGTAAGTGAAAACCGGCGGCCAGCCTCTGGGAGAAGGCCGGGCCCCGCGGCGGCCGGGCCAGCAGCAGCTGCAGCGCGCTGGAGGCCAGCGCCACCAGGGCCCGCACGGCCGGCCTGCCCCGCGGGTCCCAGCGCTGGGCCGACAAGCACTGATGGAGGAGTTGAAAGACACAAAGCACCCACGCGTTACGCCTCGGTCTCTTGCTTAAGGAAAGATCGAGTGCTGGGAAAGGACATTTGATAAACTGAAGAACGTAGAAAAAATAAGTCATGCAAACTACTGTGTAGTTTAGCATCACGTTTTTCTCCGTCACGTGTTTTGAAACTCCGATGGTCCAGGCCGCGAGGAGGTTTTTCTGGACCGAGTGCAGTTCTGCGATGGTTCCGTCGGCCTCCTCCGCAGGGTCCTTTGCGTGTATTGTGTCGAACATAGACGCAAACTCCAATCTCCCCTCCTTGGCACCACTAAACGACGGGTCATTTTCTTTGTTCCAAAAGGAGAGCAAGTTGTTTGGGAAGTATGTGCTTTCGTTAGTTTCCTCTGCTTCAAAATCCTAAAACACGAGTGAAAAAAATGATACTTAATACCACTCAATACTTTATAAGTAGAATCACATGGTGTTCTCAAATTTCTCTCCCCTTTAACAAGGGAAAAACCAAATACTATTCTTGAACTAAGGCAGCGGTTCTCAACCTGTGGGTCGCGACCCCTTTGGTGGTCGAACGACCCTTTCACAGGGGTCGCCTAAGACCATCCTGCATATCAGATATTTACATGACGATTCATAACAGTAGCAACATTACAGTTATGAAGTAGCAACGAAAATAATTTTATGGTTGGGTCACAACATGAGGAGCTGTATTTAAAGGGCCAGAAGGTTGAGAACCACTGGACTAAGGCCAACACGTAACTGCTCAAGGGGAATAGAACATGGCCACCAGGTACCTGCCAATCTGTCTTTTCATGCGACTTCATCGTTTCTTCTTCCTGTAAGAATCCGGGGGCGGGAGAAGCCGCTGGCCGCTCGCTTCCTTGGCGTTTTAACAGGCTCGACCTCAGGGACCCCAGGGATCGCAAGTTCAGCCCTTTGCCTTGTGGCTACAGGAGAAAAGGTTTGCAAGAGCAAAAGTTTACCCCAATCCCGTTACAGAGCAGCTAAAAATGCTACAGACAACGCATACAGGCCGAGGACATGCACATCAGTGTCGTTTTAAGTCTGAACGAAGAAGTCAGCCTTGACTGCCGATGGCAGAGCACGCTACCTCGGACAGCGCCACGCCGCGGTACGCCTTCTCAAGCCGCTGCGTCGCGTCCAGCAGAAGGGCCCGCAGCAGCACCGAGGGAGACAGGCTATCGAGGAACCGGAGGGTCGTGACCATGTAGCCGTCAGAAGCGACGAGGTAGGGCAACCGGGAGTGGGTTTTCACGGAAAACCTCTGTCGCATCGGGTCGCTGGCCGACGCCGACGAGTCTACAGAATGAGTTGAACCTTGAAAGGTGCACTGTGGTGGTCTAGCAAGCAAACATCACCATTCAAAAATTAGTAAGAGAAAAATCCTAAACAAATGTATTATTCCAAAGAAAAAGCAGAACAGTGATTAAAAGTTACAGAATGATGAAAACGCAAGCAAATGAAACACAAAAATTGTTCATGTGTAATATCTGTAAGGAAAACATAAGCGATTACTATAACATAGTTTATGTGTTTTTAATCTTCCCTTCATTGTAGCATTTGTTTCTAAAAATAAAATACAAGCTATTTTAGAAAAGAATTAATACAGTTCATTTTTATCATTAAAGAGAGTTAAATATTTAGCTTTGTTTCTTAATTTGTCTATAATAATATGTAAAAGCGCAATATGCTAATTAGACCGGACGTCCTTCGGGACGAAGCCGGGGCCACGAGGGAAGCCTGGGTCCCGGGAGCCTGCCAGCTGCCAGAGGGAAGCTGGTGCCAGCAGCCGGGGGAAGGAAGGCCTACTCTTGCACAAATTTCATGCACCGAGCCTCTAGTACTTAAATATACTTGTAAGAATATAATTATGAGTGTCTCTCTCACATCGATGTCTCTCTCTCTCTCTCTCTCTCTCTCTCCCTCTCTCCCCTCCTTCCGTCCCTCCCTTCCACTCTCTCTTAAAAGCAATGGACAAACTATCTTTGGGTGAGGATTAACAAATAATAAATAAATAAATAAATAAATAAAGCATCAGTTTTTGCTAAATATAATCAAGAACACACCCTCCTCTGTAAAGCAAGGGGAGTGAATTAATTTCAAAGGCCTTTTCCAATGTTTTATCTTCCTTCATTTCCTCAACCAATTATTTCACAGCAGACGAAATAGAGGCTCAAAGAATAACTTATCCAAAGTCATACAACAAGTAAGTAGAAGAACCACCTCACAATTTTAAAAACTTTAAATGTGGATTAACTTCTAAAGTCCTCTATCCATTTCCAACAACTTTTTCCAATTGGAAAAAAGGTGTATAAATCTATGTGTCAAGTTATATTAAGTTATAAATTTATCTCGACAAGGGGAGGGGTTGATGGGGGACAGTGGAGGTAAGCAAGGGGAGGGAGGGGGACTCCTGCAATAATGTCAACATTAAAAAAATTAATAAAAATAAATAAAATGAAAAAAATAATAAAATAAAGGACATACTTTTATTAACTTTTGTCAAAGAATATAAAAATTTTAGTGCTACTGAATATTTAAATAACTTATACTTACATAGTCACAATGTCAAATTTTCACCAGGATTAAGCCACAAAAAGAAATAGAAAAAAAACTATAAATAAGAAACATATCGAGATGACACACTCAAAGAAAAAATAAGACAATCTGAAAGATAAAATCATAAAAACAAAACAGTACAGGAATAACAAAAGAGAAAACTTCGGTAAACAAATTGAAACGACTGAAATCTCTCACCTGTATGTAATGAGCGGGTGGAGAGGAATAAACTCAGCCGGCCCAAATTCTACCGAGCAGCCACGCGTGATCAGTGTTAGCAATTCCCCTTGGCACGTCAGTAAAACCAGGGAGCCACGTTTCAACATACAGGCCAGGAAAAGACTGTCATGGGTCCAGCTGATGTCGCCTACCCAGTAGGACCTAGAAAGAGCGAGACAGCATGTTTAGAAAGGATTCTAGACAATGTGTCTGACCATTTCTAACGGCCAAGCAGAGGTGAAACTCTTCAAAAAACCAGGGCAAAAGAATGGAGAGCAGCCCTAACTGAAGGTTCCCAGGTTCGATTCCTGTCAACGGCACATGCCTGGGCTGTGGGCTCGATCCCCAGGAAGGGGTGTGCAAGAGGCAGCCGGTCAATGATTCTCTCATCATTGATGTTTTTCTCTCTCTCTCTCTCCCTTCCTCTCTGAAGTCAATAAAAATATTTCTTTTAAAAAAAGAATGGAGAGCAGACAACTGCCACATACATTTTGTGTATGTCACTTCCCAGAAAAAGAGAGTTCACGCATACACATCTACTCCATACGACATACTAATTAGAAATTTCGATTCACAAGCAAATCATAAAATAAAAATACTCCCTGAGAGTTAAGCTTTTCAGACACTCACATGTTAATCAGAACAACTGTTAACCCTATTGGTGTCCACAACCGAGATCTACTGATAGACGGAAAGGTCTACACCCGCCGAGTTCCACGCGGCCGCAGAATCCCTGATCGCAAAGCCATCATTTCTCCTCCGTAACCGTCTGGTAACAGTAATGTCTCATGGAGACAAAAGTAGTTGTTGCTCATGTAAATGAGGGACACCTTAAGCCAAACCCTGCTGAACTGAGACCCGTAACGCTTTCAGAACGGAACTTTTAAGGGGGGGAAGAAAATGAAGAGACAGGCTGGATGGGTCTAAACACTTTGAAAATTCAGAGAGCAGCACAGAAAAGTGTTCAGAAAGGGAAATCCGGGGGTCCAAGAGGAAACTTCCCTATTGTATGTCCCGCGTGGTAGCTCCCGTGCCATCCCAAATCGCCACGTATGTTGCTACTGACCCGTGTGCAAAGAATGTCAACTTTTTTCCAGTTCAGCCTCCCCAGTTAAGCCCAATATATTTCTTTTTTTTAAATATATTTTTTATTGATTTTTTACAGAGAGGAAGGGAGAGGGAGAGAGATACAGAGTTAGAAACATCAATGAGAGAGAAACATTGATTCAGTTGCCTCCTGCACACTCCCCACTGGGTATGTGCCCGCAACCCAGGTACATGCCCTTGACCTGAATCGAACCTGGGACCCTTGAGTCCACAGGCCGATGCTCTATCTGCTGAGCCAAACCGGTTAGGGCCCAATATATTTCTATCCAGCCATGATCCCACTCTTCCTCGGACAACGTAGCAAGAAATAAAAGAGAGAAAATGCTCACTATCTTCCCCGCAAGCAGCCCCCTCCTTAGGCACTTAACGCTTTCCTCACAGAAGGCAATCTTTAGAACCTATCACACAGATGCTGAAAGCTGCATCATCCATCTAAATACCTATTTAGACACCTATTGAACCATCAGAGCCTTAAACATATCACACTGTTGGAAAAGAAAACAAAAGCACCATCTAGAAATACAAAAGAGTTCTTACCTGACCAGGGTAGCAGGAACCATGGGGTTCTTATTGCTACAGCCTTTAAGGCTTCCACAGAGAGTAACAAAGTTCAGTGTGTTTACAAATAATACCTGAGTTGCCTAGAAAGAGTTAAAGAAGACAAAACCATTAAAATTATTTTACTTTGATCATTACTTATGATTCTGAAGACCTAGAGATCTATTATTATATCAGTACAGTATCTAGGGGTCTTTCCCAACGGGCAACAGTGCTCACCACCCATATATTTCTTTTCTTTGATTCTACATTTTAAGAACATCAGTTACAGCATTGCCCTTCTTTCTTCCTTTTCCCTCAGCCTATTTTTGCTTCTGAAGGCCAAGTATTGAAAACTATAGCAGGTCATTTATTTATTTAATTTCTTTAGTGATTTGAGAGAGAGAGGGAGAGAGAGGGACATCAATGTGAGGAGGAACCTTGATCGGTTGCCTCCTGTACCCACCCCGACCAGGGATCAAACCAGATGCCTGGGCATCTGCCCTGACCGGGAATGGAACTGGCAACCTTTCGGAGCACGGGACAACACTCAGCCAGCTGAGCCACACCAGCCAGGGCCTGGTAGCCAATTTAAATAACGTCACCAATCCACAATGTTGAGTTGGATCAGAAAACACCAATTTAAAGAATTACCTCCAGGGGGGAAAAAACATTTTAAAACGGGACTAAATTCTCTGTCTTATAGGTTACTTCCAAGACGGGTTACATTTACTGACCTTCGGGTCTTTCTGATTCAGAGTTACTGCCAGGGTAAGGCCATCTCTTGAAAAGGCAGAAATTAGAGCTCCCCTTGACTTGACTGGTTCACACGTAGGAATCAGACTGCCCAGAAGGCAATCTTGCTGTGCCCAATGAACACGGTATGGCAAGGATCTAAGAAAGTAAGGAAATTGAAAACAGGAAGTATGGTAACTTCTAGATTAATACGTAGTTCATTACAAAAAAACTAAAGGGTCCAACTAAGTTCCTACATGTGCACATATATTAGGGGCCTCTTAGCAGCCGTCCAAGTCACAGAAGAGCAGTCACCAGTTAGACAAGCTCAATCGCAGAGTTTTGTTAGTAAGAGCATGTTTGGTAGCCAACCCCAAATACATCTGCTTCCACTAATGGTTTAGACACCCCCATTTCTATATTATTGCTAACATTTTTAAAGGGACTGAATAGAGAAGAGTGGGTTTTCCGGATAGTGTTCTATACTTGATATGAGGACTGTTACACGCATGTTTATTCATTAGATTTGTTTGTTTTACTTTATGTAAGTTATACCTTAGTAAGTTATTGTTAGCATAAACAATAAAGAAAATAAACAGAAAGAAAAATACACCCCCCCAAATCACAATATTTTATTTAGCCATTATATGTTTTTATAATGCATTCTATTTGATGGGCTTTTTAGAATAATTCTATGTTTAAATAAAAAAATTCTCCAGCATGTAAAAAGTACAGTAAATTCAAGTGCCTTTTAAAACTGACTAAAAATTCCTTTCCAAAGTAGTTCTTTATTGTCTTAAAAAAAGTAAAACTATAGTCTGCCTTATCTTTTACGTGTTTTCACTTCTAAGAAGGGAAACAAAAGCAAAATAACTGATTAAACGTGTTTAAATGAAAACTAAAGCAATACTATGGGAAGAAAGGATCTGTAAAGTCTCAGAAGTGATAGTTCATTTACTAATCTGACTGTGTATTTCTAAGCCAGTGATGGCGAACCTATGACACGCGTGTCAGAGGTGACACGCAAACTTTTTTGGTTGATTTTTCTTTGTTAAATGGCATTTAAATATATAAAATAAATATCAAAAATATAAGTCTTTGTTTTACTATGGTTGCAAATATCAAAAAATTTCTATAGGTGACACGGCACCAGAGTTAAGTTAGGGTTTTTCAAAATGCTGACACGCCGAGCTCAGAAGGTTCGCCATCACTGTTCTAAGCCAAAGGTACCTGTGTCTTAAAAGGGAGGGAAAATAAGAAAGAAGGGAACATTTACCTCACCTCACAGGTGGAAACACATCCTCATGCCACCGAATTGCTAGACATGTCAACCTCAGACACTCCCCAGAGTAAAACGTGAATGCGCACAAGCAGCAGTCGCCCAGTAACTGTAGATAAATGCAATAGACTTTAGCACATAATCTATCCGACAATAAATCAAGGCGCAGAACATACATATTTCTCATCACAAATGAAATATATCGAGATCTTGTTTCTATTTTTATTCTAAACATTCAGTTCAAGACTGATTTATTTCTGAGCCACAGGTATATCCCAAATGGGAAATCAACATGCAGTTTATTCTCTTAAGAAAACACTGCCTGCCAAAACCGGTTTGGCTCAGTGGATAGAGCGTCGGCCTGCGGACTGAAGGGTCCCGGGTTTGATTCCGGTCAGGGGCATGTGCCTGGGTTGTGGGCACATCCCCAGTGGGAGATGTGCAGGAGGCAGCTGGTCGATGTTTCTCTCTCATCGATGTTTCTAACTTTCCGTCTCTCTCCCTTCCTCTCTGTAAAAAATCAATAAAATATATTAAAAAAAAAAAAAAGAAAACACTGCCATTTACTGGGGCTGTCACTGAGGCGATACTTACATAGTAACTTTCTCTTCTACAGTTATATATTATTTAAACCAGGGCACTGGAAGTGGGGTGAGGCAGAGGAAAACAATGAAACTTCAAAATGCAACTTTTAACAGTAGTGGACTGGTAATAAAATGCAGGTCCAGGCTGCTATTTAAAATGTTTTTTAGTTCATAAAGGTATTATTTCCTGGGAATTAAACGGCTTATTTAATGTCACCAATTCTAGCTTTTTAGATGACAAAACTAGCTATATTTCAAAACTAGGGAAAAGTAAAACTAGGGAAAGAGAAAGGAAGCTCTAATATCAAACCATTTTTATAAACACCTCTAAAAATGTGAACAAGAACTAAAAACGTATTTCCCACAATAATTTCACGGACGATGATGACTAAAGATCTACAGCGATGCCACTGCCCGCTGTGCTCATTCACTCCAGTGAGTGGTCAGAGCCCGAGGGCTCACCTCCTCCAACCCCCTGTCCGATGTGGGCTTTACCTCATTTTTTATGAAAACAGCATGCACCACGGCTTCTTTATCTTCAGCGGAAGGCAAACGCACTGCTTCTTCAGGTGTGATCTGGGACCACTGGCCCCTCAATGAAGGGCTTTTAGAAGACAGGACATTCCTGAATTCCAAATATTCCCAAAGAAATATGCATCCAGAGGGAGTTACAATCAGAACTCGTTTTCCATCTCCAGATACATACAAATAGAGTCTCAACGAACTTGCTAAAAATAAAAAAAAAGTTAAAAAAAGTGATTAAACCTTGAAGACTGAATTCCCTCCAGAGGCTAAATAATTTCTCTCTTCTGACAAAGAACCAGAATAATGTGACCATTACGGATGTAAAGCTAAGGCAGTAGTAAAACATTAAAAGTACAAATAGTAACATATCACATATTTACGTGATATTAGGAACGCTTGGTTATCAGGTATGTTAGGCATACCAGACTACATTCATCCAAGTATCACAAATAACCACCACCAAAAAAAAAAAACGCAAGGAAATATACATGTACACACACAGAGATATACACACACACAGAGATTTTTTTAAAATAGCAATAGGAAAATATTTCGTCCTCCCTTCCTGTTTTATCAAGTTAAACCAATTTAAACAAATACATCCTCACCTACTGCAGCCTTAATCACTTCCTTCGGCTTCTCAGCTGCCTGGATGGTTTTCAAACAATCTTGATCTTTGTTCCAAAGGAAAAGCTCCCCGGTAGAAAGGACCCCAGCCAGCCAGGCATCTGTTTCCGAAAAGGAAATGCAATCCTTACAATCTGAAAGCGCCCCTGAGATTGCCCCACACGGTTAGGAATTTCAGGCTGCCTCAGCCTCTGGAAACAGCAGGCCTACTTAACCATTACTGGACGTCGTGAGGACCACAAGATGCTTCAAGAAAGGCTGCAGGCGAGGGATTTTCTTCTTTGTCCTTCCCGACAGCAAATTAATTTCATGTATGAGTTTATCATCCAAAAGAAAAACGGCTTCGTTTTCCTGAGAAGAAACACGTGAGACTTAAGAGGTGGCAGAAGTCCATTCAAACTCTTACCCAAATGATGCCAGAAAAGAACACCAAGTGACGTTTAAGAAAGATGACATACCTGTGTACCATGAGTCCTAAAATGAACCATAAGGTCGACTAGGTAGACTGAACGTGGCTTCACTCTATCTTAAAATACCTCATTAAAATTACTTGGTAAAAATGACCTAACAAATGCAATTTAGATTGCTCAGAGGTTTAAAATTATAAGAGTGTCTTCTGCTAGCCAAAACTGGGTCATCAATTTAACCCTAGCATGGACAAGTCTTTAAATTACTTATTTAGATTAAAACAGATATGGGTTCTGCAACCCTGGCTGATCATTTTTTAAAATATATGTTTTATTGATGTTTTACAGAGAGGAAGGGAGGGGGATAGAGAGTTAGAAACATCAATGAGAGAGAAACATCAATCAGCCGCCTCCTGCTGGGGATGTGCCCGCAACCAAGGTACATGCCCTTGACTGGAATCGAACCTGGGACCCTTCAGTCCGCAGGCCGACGCTCTATCCACTGAGCCAAACCGGTTAGGGCGCTGATCATTTTTCATTACCGAGGAAAAGCCTGCTGTTCTGAATTAACTTTGCCTTCATGTATTATCCCAGGGCAGTGGTTTTCAAAATGCCACCTAACCAGCGGCATCAGCAACCCCCGAGACCCTGTAGGAAATGCATCTTCTTCTACCCCAGGCCCACTGACCCAGCAGCTCGGGGATGGGGCGCAGTCCTTGTTTTAACAAGCCCTCCGATGACTGTGAACCGCCGTGAAGTTCAAGAGAAGGTAAGTTAATGGTATAATTTCTCCGAGGAAACGACACAACACCAAATTTTTTTAAATATAATTTTTAAAAATTGATTTGAGAGAGGGAGATAGAAACATCAATGATGAGAATCACTGATCAGCCGCCTCCTGCACACCCCTCACTGGGGATGGAGCTGGCAACCCGGGCATGTGCCCTGACCGGGAATCGAACCGTGACCTCCTGGTTCATAGGTCAACGCTCAACCACTGAGCCATGCTGACTGGGACCACCAAATTTAACTTTAATAATTGTGGTAAATCTAGGTTTGCCCACTTTCCCTGCGGTGAGGCCTCTATCCCATGTATTGTGAGCAGTGTCCTGGGCGGTTAGTGCACCGTGACCCACCTTCACCCCAGGTCTAAGGGCCACTGGGTTGCACACTCATAAAAACCACGATAGAAAGAAACACTCCACGGATTGTTCTGGTAGGAAAAGGTTCAGAAGATTAAAAATTCCTTTTTGCTATATGCCATCGCCACCTTTTTAAACATAATATAAAAATGTTTTTTTTTGTTTTTTTAAATTAAATCTTTATTGTTCAGATTATTACAGTTGTTCCTCTTTTTTCCCCCCATAGCTCCCCTCCACCCGGTTCCCCCCCCACCCTCTGCCCTCACCCCCCCCCCGCACTGTCCTCATTCATAGGTGTACGATTTTTGTCCAGTCTCTTCCCGCACCCCCCACACCCCTTTCCCCCCGAGAATAGTCAGTCCACTCCCTTTCTATGCCACTGATTCTAGTATATTCACCAGTTTATTCTGTTCATCAGATTATTTATTCACTTGATTTTCAGATTCACTTGTTAAAATATTTCTTCTTGATAGACCATTTAACTTTCTGGAAAAGCTAACTTGCTCACTATACTGAAGACAATACACAAACACAAAACCCTGTTCTGTGGGCAGGTGATCCTTGAAAGACGGATTTTATTTTTTAAATGCCACAGACCATCCTTCAACCTCAGAGGCAAAGCACACATTCCACACAGACGACGACTGGACAGTACGAGAAAGAAACACCCACCTGGCCCAACCAGGAGACGCGGGGCCAGGGCCTCTTCTGCTTGATGGTGGTTGACGTCAAAACTTCCAACCTGATCTCCATGCTTGTCGAGGTTTCCGTGACCAGTTAAGTAAAAACAGTCACAAGATGCTATGAAAAGCAAAAAATAATGATCATCATAAATAGCCCATATTTACTGAGGATCTTAATTTAGAATTCTCATAAAGATGTGGTGTTTTACTTTTTCATCAGTTCAATTCTCTTCTTAAGGCAAGATATTGACAATGCATTCGGTATCTCATCTTGTATCCTGAACAGTCAGGCAAACTGTATTTGCTTTTATTTGACAAGTTATTTCTCCGACTGTGAAGGTAAACAAGACCTGGGGGGAGATCTGGAAAATAGTTTCCACGTGATCTGCCTTTCTCCCAAGCTGGCCACAGCAGCACCTCCTGTCCCATATTCTCCTGCACTGTGACCTTGACTGTCTCTCAGAGACCCCTTCTCTGGTCTATGCCTTATCCCTTAAAACTGGATGGGATCTGGTCTATTTTAACCAGAATAAAACAGGAGAGATGCTTTGCATTTCCCAAGGCTAGATCACAAAAGGCACTACAGCTTCTACCTCACTCCCAGGGGGGGAGAGGGGGAGAGAGAAACGGGGACAAGAGAGCGAGTATCAGTGGGCTGCCTGCTGAACGCCCCCTACTGGGGATCGAGCCCCAAATCCGGGCAAGTGCCCTGACCGGAAAAGACCCAACCATCTTTTGGTGCACCAATCGATGCCCACCAACTGAGCCACACTGGCCAGATGTTTGTTTTTTAAAGGGGCCTTACCTCTCCTAGATATAGGATACTGTATATACTTAAGTATTTATGCCAAGGATTTACTTCATTTGTGTGTTTTTTAATGTTTTTACCAGGTGTACCGGTTAATAATGCAGATTTTTTCAATAGATGGAGTTACACATATGTTGATATATATGCAATTTGATATGTATGCTATTTTGTTGTATTGACAGCAAGCTTCAAAAATTCATATGTCAAATTTGCTGAAGGTGTTAACATCATAGATATTTTTACACTTAAAAATGTCGAATTTTGTGCCAAAAAAAAAAGAGCATTTGCGGAAAGTTTTAATTCATTACTTTATTTTGAAGAAAAGTGCTGCTGAAAGTGATCGTATACTTCGGGAAGCTTATGGTGAACATGCTCCATTTCAAGATACTTGTGAACGCTGGTTTAAATGCTTTAAAAGTGATGATTTCGATGTGAAAGACAAAGAACATCCAGGTCAACTGAAAAAGTTTAAAGACCAACCATTACAAGCATTATTGGACGAAGACGCGTGTCAAACTCAAAAACAACTTGCAGAAAGATTAACCGTTGCTCAGCAAACAATTTCTGATCGTTTACAAGCAATGGGAGGATTTTAAAGGAAGGAAAATGGGTGCCACATCAACTGAACGAAAGACAAATGGAAAACCGAAAAGTCATCAGTAAAATGTTGCTTCAACGGCACGAAAGAAAGGCTTTTTTGCATCGAACTGTGACTGGCGATGAAAAGTGGATTCATTTTGAGAATCCCAAATGCACAAAATCATGGGTTGATCCAGGTCAATCATCAACATCGACTGCAAGGCCAAATCGCTTCAGAAAGACAATGCTCTGTGTTTGGTGGGATCAGGAAGGTGTGGTGTATCATGAGCTTCTAAAACCAGGTGAAACCGTAAATACTGATTGTTAATACGGATCACTACCGACAACAAATAATCAATTTGAACCAGCTTTGATCGTGAAATGACTAGAATGTGCCAGAAGACACGGCAAAGTAATTTTGCTTCATGATGACGCACCATCACACACTTCAAAACCAGTTAAAGACATGTTAAAAGATCTAGCCTGGGGAGTATGAACCCACCCACCGTATTCACCAGACCTTGCTCCTTCAGATTACCGCTTGTTCCGATCGATGGCACATGCACTTTCTGAGCAGCACTTCAAAACATACGAAGAAGTGGAAAATTGGGTCTCTGAATGGTTTGCCTCAAAACAAGAAAAGTTCTATTGGGATGGCATCCACAAATTACCTGAAAGATGGGGGAAATGTGTAGCTAGCGATGGACATTACTTTGAATAAAGCACTTTTGGTGTTTCTCTCGAAATTATCGTGTTTTGACTAGAAAATCCGCATTATTAACCGGTACACCTGGTATTGATTTTAGAGAGAGGGAGGAAGGGAGAAGGAGAGATAGAAACATCAATGAGAGAGAAACAGGGACCGGTTGCCTCCTGCACCCCCCCATCCTGGGGATCAAGCCCGCAACAGGCGACTCTAGGTGCATGGGTCCAGGCTCAACCATTGAGCCACACCAGCCCGGCAGGGATTTGCTTTAAAATACTCCAGCGATGTACTCAGAGGTAAGTTATGCAACCAAAATGTGAAGGATAAAAAGGGTTCAAGATGTGAGGATGGAGGCCTACAGGACTTGGTCATGTTTCCACCGCCTATTAGGCCCCAAGATCATGTCTGCTGCTGGAATGGCACTCGAAACAGTCATGTCCTGGGCCTCACAGACATCGCCAAACCAGTAGATTCGTTCTCGGAAGGGGGCAAAGTTAGCCATCACACTCACTGACTATGCCAGGAAGGGAAATACATGGTCTCCCCAAAGCAGTGCCTTTACTTAAAACACAGGGGTCATGCAATTTAGACCATCTCCAAGCTCCTCTGTGGTTTCCTTCCTCCACGGTCAACGACCTCATCACCAACCCACGGAGGTCTCCCACGGGGGTGCCCCCCAAGCCCTCCAGGGGCTCCGAGGTGTCCTCCCCGACCTCGGGGGAACCGCTCCCCGGGGCTGAGGATGGGCAGCCGGGGCGGGGGGCAAGGACGCGCAGGGCAGAGGGTGAACGGGGGACGGAGGGTGAACGGGCACAGAGGGCCCAGGAGCCCGCGGACCAGGCGGGAGACGGGGAGGGGGAGGGGGGCCACGCGGGGCAGGAGTCCGGGCAGTTACCTCCTCCAGGGCCGGGCCCCTCCGGGCGGGACGGCGCGGCGACACCGGGGGCTCAGCGGGCGGCGCGGGCGGGAGGCGCGAGGACCAGGGCGCGGGCCCAGCGTCCGCCCAGACGCAGCTGCGCCCCGGCGACGGGGAGAGGGGCGGTGAGTGGAGGCCAGGGCGCCTGCTTCCCGCCGCCGGGGAGACGGGTGCTCCCCCTCTCCTCTTCTTCTCTTCTCCTCCTCCTCCGCCTGGTCTCCACCCGGTCTCTCTGTCTCGTACAGCCGCGTCCTCTCCCCTTTTTTGCCCTGTCCGCGCCTATCCGTTAGTCACAGTTCA